CAGTGTGTTGGATTCCTGCGAAGCAAGCTGCTCGCTGGAGGAGTCCCTAAACCATGGCAATCACCCACACTCTGCTGTGGCATCTCTAGCTATTTTTCTTTCCTTCTATTCTGAAGTAGCAAGCTGTCAGTGTTAGTCCTTGAATAAATCCATCCTGCCTGCTGTTGGGTGTCAGCCTTCATCTTGTCCAAATGGTAGCTTGGGACAAGCCCACAGAACCTCAGATACCTTGAATCCCCACATCTCTATGCTCTTGGGGGACTACATTCATCGTTACATAAGGCAAATGAAGGGGAGTAGGGGACAGTGTTTGCTCCTACCTCATGTCTCTGGATGCCAGGGAACCCGTGTTCGGTCCCAGTGAAAACAGCCTGGCCTACAAAAACTGCTGTTCCTCCACATGCCTGAGCATTGATAGCTCAGCTATTGAGGAGATGGGGCTTTCGTATAGGGAGCTGAAGGAAACAACTCAGCATCTGAGCTGCTTGGCATTTGAAGCTCCTGGAAAACCTGTGTTGGGGGACTGTGACTGTGTTCCTTTTTTAAGCAAATGAATGATGAAATGAGTGAACTGAGCTGCCTCCTTATAGAAGTCAGAGGGTGTCTCTGTAATTCAGCATGCAGGATTGTCTCTAGGCTGCACTAATTGAGTACTCTGTACAATGGGACACATCTCAAGCTCCCCCAGAAATAGGGGATACCTTGCATGCCTCCTAGTGAACTGCAGTGGCTCCCTGTTGCTGCATAAGTTGTTTGTTTTTTTTTAATGTGTTAGACTTGTGTTACATTTGGCTCTGCATATCCCAGCTGGGGCTGCTTTTTGTGAGTCGTGCATTCAAGATGGGCCTCATCCCAAGGAGCTGCTTCTAAACAAGACACCAATAAAATGTTGGGGTGAAGAGGAGTATACAGCATAAATGACATAAGACTAGTTGAAAAGAAACACAGGGAAAGGACAAGTTTGGCAATTTAGGGGGGCTGTCCTTAATGGAATTCCTTTTTAACAGCCAGTATGGGGCTAACAAAGTTGAGTTTGCAGCCATGTATGCATTTCCCTTGTACATTTGTAGCTTCTCACGGGCTTCCTTGTCAGCTGTTTCCCAAATGGTAACAGTCTTCTCTCTCTCTTTCGGTAGTTCCACTTCTGAAGACATTCAGTTTCTTGGGCTTTGAGGTTGTGAGGCCTGACCACCCCTACGTTCCATCACGACCAGATGTGATATTCATGGTGTACCCCCTGGAACAGACCTCTTCCTCTGATGAAGAATAGCTACAGTGGAGGACTTCAGTTTGACCTGAAGATGCTTTTGAGGGAAGAGGGGGCGATATCTCCTTTCTTGAGGAAAGGGAAAACAAGCTTCTGTTGGACTGAAACTCCATTTCTCATTATTAGATTGGCTTGTATATCCTCAGAGTTGACTTTTTTTCATTGAAATGTGTTGCATAGAGACCTATATATATATACACACACATGTAATCACCAAATAGTAAATGGAAGATGTTTATGAACTGGCATAGAAGCTCTCTAAATGCAGCTGTGTGGTATACTTGTTAGCCTAGCAGTGCCTCAGGCCCAGGCTATGAATGAAAAGCCTGGCATATTAGCAGGATCACAGTGGCTAGATGCAGTATCGACTCCTTGACTTTCTAAATCAGTGTTTGGTTGGTTTCTGCTTCCCCCCCCTTCCTCCCCCAATCACCTGATGTGTGGCGCGTGCTTGTTTTAAAGACTTGTATATTTTTATGTTCACTCAGACTCTTAAATATAAGGCATGTTTTGGGTATAGACACATGGAAGGGATGTGCTTGAGTTAACTTTTAATGACGCTACGTTTAAGGAACCCTATACATTTCTGCACAGGGGTAACCAACGCTGTATGTGGTTTAACCCTGTTTTAAAAGCTTCTTGCTCTTCCAGCTTTTGTTTTAAGCAGTCTTATTTTGTTCAGTGTTACCACTGCACTATCGCAGCATTCAATAAAAGGGGCATTCAAACTAATTTCTCACAACTGCAGCATCTTCTTTTAAAAGGAAAAAAGGCCTTCCTCTCAGCCTCTGATATTTGCTGCAGTGATATGTACTTGGCTTCAAAGAGTTAAAATTGGTCCCCAGAGTATTGCTTCTGGGTCAGGTGAGCTCTTCCTTAGCATCTTGTTGTTCACGGTTGCGAGTCCTTGAAGGCATGAGCTATCTGTCTGAGTGGGGATCACAGATTTGAAGTCCCTACCCAAGATGACTAAAGACACTTTTAGCTTTTCACTGATCCTTTATTTTCCTTCTGCCATCTCCAGAGATGTTCTATACACTTCGAGCACTGCTGAGGTGAGAGCTGTATCAGAAACCAAAGGGAACTGAACATAGTCTAACCAGACAGGGACTGAGGGAGACTTCATCTGTACCATCCTCACCTGCCCCAGTTCGCTTCTGCAACTTCCCTCATCTGAGAATGCCTACTGGTGCAGAAAGTTTGGGTGGCAGGGGGGTGGAGCTGTCAGCTGCAATTTGGGTCCAGTCCCTACTACTACTAGGACTTTGTTATTAATTAATTACTCTAACTTATCAAATAACAGATTTAGCATTTAAAAATGCATCCAATCCCCTAAAATATACATACAGACATATTTATCTTCCATCAACAGCACTTCCTTATGTCAGTGTTTTGTTCTTCTCTTCCTTGTTTCTATTGATGTTAAGCTTTTTTTGTTTCTTGATCCCTATATAATATCTTGCTTTCCCCTTCTTTGTTTCCCTAGAACTCTGCTCTGCATAATATAAATCTCATTACTGTCTACTCATCTTTGCTTTTAAATTTTAATTTTATTACAAATTGGTTCTTAAGTGTTTAGCTCATAGAACTTGCACTTTTCTTCAGTATCCCAAAAGGCGTCTCAGATTTTCTGGTATGGAGACTAATCCCTCCTACTTCTAAAGTAGGAGAGATGAGTTAAAGCCTCTTTCCTTCCAGCCATTTGGTTATCACCTTGCTGGCTTTCTCTGAATGCCATTTGAAAATGTGTGTTTTTTATAAACTTACCTTTAGAACTACACTGCAAGCATTTGCTGGCTTGGCTTGCTTACCCACTGCATTGCCCAGGTGCTTTTTTTTTTCTGCTTTCAGGTTTGCATAGAAGATCTTGTCTAAAAGCTAAAGCCATTCCATAGACTTCAATGAACACAACCACTGACCATGGAAAGGGACACTAGGATGGGGTGTCCAAGGGCTGCGAGTAAGCAGTTTACAAGTTGTACTCCCCATTCTTCCTCTTCTGGCCAAGATGGAGATATTAAGATGTTGGCTTCAGTGGCACGGGTGAGCATGCCTAGGTTAAATGGTATGATAAAGGAGCTAGTCTCCCATGTTCCTATGCAGTTGTTGCTCCAAGGGGCAGGCTAACTCTGAACCTTCTGAAAAATGTATAATTCTCTAGCCTATAATTTAAAGTAAAATAGTTCTGTCATCTTAAGAGTATTGTCAAGACTTCCTTCTAGTGCAGTATGAAGCAGTAGAACCGTATCAATGCAGTGGTAGAAGCTCCCAAGTTAGACATGATGAACTGTTGCAAAGGGATTAATCTAGTTGTACTAGTTGTAATGCGGTGCACTGGTTGCATAGCTCTTGCAGCTAATTCAGGTAACTTTAAACTGATAGGTGTCCACAACTGAAGAGAAATTTGCACATTTCACCATGTCTGTCCAAAAAATGCTCAAAATTAATGGAATAATTTGTTTTGTAGATTCCTGTCTCTAGAACTCAAGGATGCTAATCTTTCACTTAAATATACTTTCAGCCAGCACAAATAGCTGTTTTATTTTAAGTCTTATTCTTGTGCCACTCAAGAAATGTTATCAAGATCCAGACAAATTCCTAGGCAAAGCTAGCTGTTTGCAGCAAACAGCACAGCACCTGAGTTGGGAAAGAACAAACCAGGAGCAGGGCTCTGTACGTGATCATTCTAACAAGGCTTTATTGAAAGACCTGGAAAACAAACAGGACTCTAAAATGTGCTGAGGATACACATACCAGAAGGTTTTGTGAGTAAGGAACAGAAGAGAAACTAAAATTGGATCATATCTGACAGACTTGGCAAAAAGTGTGAAATCTAATTTTGGAGCAGTGCAAAGTAGGGAAAAGAGACTCAACCAATACAATACATAATAAATGTGAGAAGATTGCATCAAATTTAAGATCAGACATTAATATGCTGCTGGAACATATCTGCACAATATTTAGTGCTGGGGGTGAAGAAGAACCTATGCCCCTCAAAGAAGTTTTTTCTGGACATGTTGTATGGAGAAGTAGGCTTCCACTGAATTCTTTCTAGAACTTATACTTTTGATTCCTAAGTATTTTGGACTTGACTGAAATGGGTGCAACTGACCCAGTCTGGCCTGCCAGCTCAGTTGCATGCAACTTGAGGACTGCACCTGCCCAGTGCTCTGCTAAGCTGCAGAAAAGAGCTTGAATACAGTTTCAGTGCTTCTTACTGCAATGGAGAACCCTATGGGTAGCCATACCTCTAACAGGAAAGCTAAGCAGTAGCAGAGGTGGGTGCTAGAGTCCCCAAAGGGGCAATAAAGGAAAGGAGGTAGGTTAGAGGAGAGTTTCTTCCTTCTTGTTTTTTGCAGTTGATTTGTGGTGGGAAGATAAGATTTTTTTTTTTTTTCTTCCACCCACAAGTGCTTTTCCAGCTCTGACTCCCCTCCCCAAGCTGAGGAGTCTTCTATTTATTAAAAGAATATGCTCAGTTGCTAAGATCTGCTTGGGATTTCTAAGTCTAGGCCAGGTGTTGGTCTCTCTATATATTGAACTCTTAAGAAGGATGCTGGGTACTGTCATGTAGTACACAAGCTGCTTCATGACCCTGAGTATGGAGGTGAGATCCTCCTTCAGTATGTCAGGACAGAAGTGTGACCTATTAGTGCCACACTCCAGTGTTGTCTTAGGTTCCCATCTTAATGGCAACCATCAGTTGGTCTCGAAGATTTGGTTCCAGCATCATAACAGTGCAGACATCAGTCTCCTGGCTGGCTCTGGCCAATCTATGTACCAACAGTAGTAAAGATGCCTATTGCAGGAAAGGACCTTTTGGAGTTGCTCTCCCTTGCACATGGCATTGGATTGCAGCAGTACCTGATAGGATCTCTGACATGATAACTTTGGTGCTGACCCCTAACTCAGCTTTGGTGCAGTCATCCCTGTGCCATTCAGTGCCATCAGAGACCCTGATATCAGCATGAGCATCTCTGCCAATCTTAACAGTGCCTAGAATAGCCGAACCTTTTCACCACTCCATTTGTGTCCTATGCTGTCCTATCTATGCCAGTGGATTATTTCTGATATAGCAGAGATGTATCTTTAATCACCACCTCGCACCCCATGATCCAACTGTGGTGGCAGGGGTGCACTTTTATGTATTCAAATTTATCTATAGAGCTGGCAAAAATTGCTGGCATGCTATGTTATCTGGGTACCCCAGTGGCTCTTGGTTATTCCATGCTTCACTAATCTCTTCCCCAGGCTACTCCAAACTGTTCCCTAGCATGAGCAACTCCTGAAAGGGGGATTCCAAAGAGTTCTCAGGAAGGGTAGACCTTAGCATCAATTCCAGCAGATGAACAAATGATTCACTTGGAGCTCCATAGAAACTCCTTCATCCCAAGGAGATCCCAGTCGCCTCCTCTCTGGGGAAAGTAGCTGTGGAGTTGTATTCTTTCCCACTTGCAGAGAGAACAGCACCTTCTCTGGAGTTGATGGGGTCTGAGGCCAAGAGCTAGTCCATTCCATGATCTCCAATGGCAGACTGAAATGCTTTGTTATCAGTTGAATGCTTTTGGAATGGGCCAAAATGCTTTAGCAGACCCCAGTTATCCTAACATCTGTGGCTAAAGGTACTGACTACTATTACCAAGCTCCTTCTCAATTGTGAGCAATTTTCCCACCTGTTACCTGGTTCTTTGTTACAGCTTGTGGCCAGTGAAAGATTACTGCAGAGGTCCTTCGAGGCTATATCAAAAGAGCAGACCAGAGTCCCCAAACTAGATTTATTCTACAGAGAGTTTGCAAATGCGCATTTCTGACCCTTGCATGGTCTTCCAAAGTGTGGCCGCATTAATTGTGGTTCTGTGGCAAAGTTCACTGACTCCCCAGAGATGCTCAATAGTAGTAGTTAAAAGTTGGGAATATTTGCCTGTTAGCAAAGACCTTTCAAGTAGTGTTGCTGCTGCAAGTGTCACCTCAGTAGATGGACACAGTCATGGCTCCAAACTCTAGGAAACCCTGCAGAGCTACAGCAAAACCATTGCACACCTCAAAAGGACTAAGTCCTGAGCCTCATGTTGGCTAAAACTGATAAGGCCCTGAGATTCCCAAGCAACACTCAGTGCCTTTGCTGCATGCTTGCATTTCCCAGAGGTGTCTGTGCAGAGACAGGAATATCAAACAAGATGGTCAGAACCCTCTAAGCTAAATGCACTCACAGAGAAGGATTCTCTTGTCTTTACATCTGTGGAGTGGCAAGGTAGTTGGGAAGTATCACTTCTTAGCTGCCTACAAAGCTTTCAAAGTAAAAAAAGGCTCCACTTTGAAGTCTTACCAATGTGCAGACTTTTTTTTGCCCCTTCTGGGCTAATAGCTGTGTTTATTGTTGCCAGATGTAAGTAATCCAGGGTGTCTTAATTGGCCTCAAAAGGACAAGACTTTCTCTTGGTTCCTTAAAAGTTCATTTAGTTGCAATATAAGGTCACCAGCGCCAGGGTGTTCGATATTAACTAACCCCATAGTAAACAGGTTCTTAAACGTTAATAAAACTCTATGCACTATTCAAATCCATTTCCTCTTTGGGACTTCAAATGGTGTCATGGAAACTCTGTGGGGTCATCATTGAAGCCAATGGCAACCCATTGCGTAGCACACCTTTTGGCCAAAGCAGCTTTCCTTGTGATTGTCAGAGTAGGTGAGCTATGAGCTTGTGTCATAAGACACTTGCACAGTCCAGAAAG